ATACTTAAGGATATATATTGACAAGAACTTGGCTAAAAAATTCATACACTATTCAAAATCTTTAGCAAAAGCTCTTATCTTATTTATAAAGAAAAAAGATGGATCTCTATAGATATACATTTATTATCAAGGACTTAATAAGATCATCATCAATAATAGATATTTCATATTTTTAATTTTAAGACTTCTTAACCAACTATCAAGAACATAAACATCAAAGAATTAAAATATCTATATATTCTTGTGTCACTTAAAAAGACCTGAAAATCATTCAAAGATAATATAGAATTAAATCAGAATGGCTATTATAAAAGATAAGAAGATTAGAAAATCTTAGAATAAGACTAAGGACTAAAAAGGCATTCATAAGAGTAAAGAAAGCTTCACTCTTGCCTCCATATATACTCTTAATTAGGAGCTATGTAGCAATATCCTATAGGACCTCTAAAATGTGTTGACTTTGTAAAATATATATCTTAATTTGAAAAATAAATTTTTTATATGTGCACCATATAATTATATATCTCAATCATTGATAGTAATCCATATCAAGGCAAGAAGACCATTTAATTATTTGATTTTTGTTGATGCCTTTGTAATTTCCTTCAAATAAAATATTTGAAATATTATCAAGAATGGTTACTATTTTAAATAAAATTACCACACATCAAGAGTCTCTTCCAAGGTTGTGATATCAAACACGTTGTATCTTACCATCTACATGAAGAAAGACATGCCACTCTTGAAAATCTTCATCTTGATTATGTTGTCTTAAAAGTTTTGAAAATAGCAATATCTTATGTAATAAGTCAATAAGTGATAGCTCTTAAGTTGAATCTATTGGTTGTTGATTCTCTATCTTCTTAGTCTCACAAATATATAAAAAGTTATAAATAAAAGTTGAAGATAGAATACTATCATCTTTGGATCTTATTTTTTTTATAGCAAAGATTTGCTATTCTTAATCTTAATTTTGATGGATGTTATCTAAAAAAAGCTTCAATTTTTATTATTATATTTATAAGATTTTTTGTTGGCTCCTATGTGCATTCATTAATATCATATTTGTGCCAATGAATAAAATATTTTAATATATTTTTGCATTGCTTTGAATTTTTTTACCTCAAATTTTTTATTATTATCTACTTTTATAAGAAGAAGTGGCATTTGTCTTCTTCTTGAGATATTCATTGTCTTATATGGTTCAAAAAGAGACATATAGAATATGGGATGAATCTTCATAGACTTTGATAGATATAATTGATAAGCAATAAAATTGACTTATTCACACATAAAAAAAGATCCAAGCCTACAATAGTTCAAACTTGTAATAAGGACAAGTAGTCTTGATATTGTAGCAAAGTAGTCATATCTTATCACCTACAATGAATTGTGATTATTCTTTGCAATAGGCATTTGGATTCTTCTTTTGTCATTCTTAACCTTCTTTTAACTATGCCTTAATTATTGCATATAGCTCTAACAAACAATATGCCAAATCTTCTATTGTAAGATTATTAATTTTTGAAAAGTCAAAAATATTAAGTCATAGATGATAACCATAATTGGCAAAGAAAGATGTTTGTTGAGTAGAAAAACGTATCAAATTATTATATGCAAACTTTGTCAATGGCAAAAAAGTTGTCTAATTATTCTCATGATAGTTAATAGTATACTTCAAATATTATTCCAAAAATTTATTTATGTATTTCATTTATCCATCAATTTAAGGATGAAAAGCCAAAAAGAGCTTTATATCCATCTCTAGAATCTTAAAAAAGATTTTTCAAAATCTTGATACAAATTGAGTCTTCTTTTTTGATATAATAACTTTGGGCAATCTATAATAGTAATAGATGTTGTGAAGAAAAAGCTTAGCTATTTCTTTATGTGTGATAGATTTTGTACATGATACAAAATATACCATCTTAGTAAAACAATCTATTATCACTAATACAAAATCATACAAACTTGAAACCAAAAGATCCATGATAAAATAAATAGAAACATAAGACTATGATTGTTTTATAATAGGTAATACTTGAGAAAGTCCATAAGCTCAATGGTGAGGAATTTGGATCTTAAACAAATATCATGTGATTTTATAAAGTCTTTAATTGCCTTCTACATTTGAAGCCACTAAAAATCTCTTGATATTAGCTCTAAAATCCTATTATATCCAAAATATTTGGTTTTTGGAAAGTCATGATAAGCTTAAAAAATACATAATTGTGCTTTATCTTTTGGAATAAATAATCATCTCTCAAAATATAATAGATTATTTTTGAACTTAAACTTGGAAGTATCATGAGACTTAAAAGAATTATTCTTGATATCATAAATAAGAAGATTAAAGGACATATTTGATTGAATTTGCTTGATAAAAACTGAATCAACAATCATTGTTGATTTTATTGTTTAAAGATGAAAATGCTTTAGCTTCAAAAAAATCATTCTTTCTTGATCAAAAGCTACATTTTTTTTATGCAAGATAAGTACATTTAAAAAAAAGTTTAAAAAATTTTATTATTTTTTGGAATAATAAGTAAACTTAAAATTAAATCTTCATAAAGACATTCTCCAACTAGCTTGGCAATGATTCAAAACACATGTTAACATAAAGTACTTGAGGTTTTTATGATTTGTATACATAATGATTAAACAAAAAATACCTTTTAGATAATAACACCATTCTTGAAATGAATCAATAATTGCAAGAAGTTCTTTATCATTGATCTCATAATTAATCTTGATTGCTCAAAATTTTGTAGAATAAAAAGCTGTTAGGTAGAACTTGTCATTTGCTTCCATTTGTGACAAAACAACATCTATAGTAAATTCTAATACATCTGTTTTAATGAAAAATTCCTTCAAAAAGTCAATGCAATACAAAATTGGTACAAAAATAAATGTTGGCTTTAAAGCTTCAAAAGATACTTCAATTTCTTTGTTCTACTCAAGTTTGTCTTTAAATGTCAAGCATGTAAGATTGAGCCACAACTTGAAAAAAATTCTTGATCAAGAACTAATAATAATTAGCAAATTCCAAAAAATATTGCACATCTCTGACTGTTTTTGAAATTTTTCAATCTATGATAGTTTTGATTTTATAGGAATCTATCATTAAACCATCATTTTAAATGATATACCTTAAGAAGTCAACTTAAATAGTATAAAATACATACTTTTCTATCTTGGCATACAATCTTATATCTTTTAATTTTTGTAATATATAACAAACATGAATTTCATGTTATTTTATGTTTTTAGAGTAGATTAAGATGTCATCTAAATAACAAACAATAAAATTATTAAAAAAATTATCAAATATATCATTCATTACATGTTAAAAAAAAACTACCATATTTATGAATCCAAAAGACATATTATATTCAAAATATCCATACTTGATTTGAAATGTAATTTTTTATTTTTCTCTTTTTTTAATGTATATTAAATTATATGCTCTTTGTAGATTTATTTTTGTATAGATCTTTGTTTGATTCAATTGATCAAAAAGTCTTAAAATTAAAGATGGAAAGTACTTATTCTTGATAGTAATCTTGTTGAGTCATCGATAGTCCAAATATATTTATAGATAGTTATTTATATATATATATATATATATATATATATATATATAAAAAAATAAGATAGGAGTTCTACTTAGAGATTTAGAATAGCGTATTAAGTTCTTAGCTGAATTCTTGTCAATGTATTCCTTGAATGTAACCAACTTATTCTATGATAGGCTATAAATTGGTCCATATGTTAGTTGAGCTCTTTCTTGAAGATTGATGGAAAAATCATAAAAATAATGCTTAAAAAAAAATTGCATTCTTTTTTTCAAAGACATCTTAATAATCTTGGTATTGGCTTGAAATGCCACTTAAAATCTTTTTTCCATTAATAATAAATTTACTATATATAAAAAAAATTGATTTTTCTTTTGCAGCATGTATGAAAGTTCTTGCACCTACCAATAATAATTTATCAATGTCATGTGGCATGATTTGTAATTTGAGAATACACTTAATATCTAGCTGTAAAAAAATTAGTTTTAACTTATTGACTAAACTCAAATAAGTGATTTATTCTACTTTTAACTTATATACAAAGTCTTGGCTTCCAAAACCTCTTCACTTTATATAAAATGCTCAAATTGTAGCAAATTACCTCAGAACATATTTTTCCCACAAAAGATTTCATCTTCCCCCACTTTAGAAATTCATATGTCTTGATCCAACTATTCAATTTCTCTCAAATTTTTATATAATGTAACTATTATCTTTAAGCTTTACTACAAAAAAAAATAAACCATAAAATTGCTACCTATCTTTTGGCATCTTAGAAATCCTAACAAGTGCTCTAAACCCTAACTTACAAGCACTTAAGCAATATTTCCTTCATATTTAAAAAACCCAAAACTCAAATGCCACAAAATAATTGTATGATTCTTAGCGCCTTTTAACAATGGCCTGCCCATCTAACATGAAACAAGATTTGATAAAATTGTCCATAGATGGACAACATCCATTTCACTTAGTTATCTAATTAATGAACTAAAAAGAAAATTGGTTTAGTGTGCAACAATAGTTACTTTGTACTTTGACCATTATGGTTTTGCCAACAATGCAGTTCAACTGTACTCTCTCAATCACTAACAAATTTACCATCTTGCTAATAGTAATAATACTAGACTCTTGAGATGGAACTTGTGATCCATTAAGCAATATTGTTGAGCACATGATCATAGTTCAACACAACTCAAGACAGGTCCATCTGCTAATCAAACTTCCATCTTTGAGAATTCAGACATTTTGAAGAAGGATAGATAATATGGTATACCTCACAAGTGGAATACCCACCACAATCCTAGAAGCATTGGATGATGCATACAAACTTGACTTTCTAACAAAAACTGGACTGTAAACATTTCTTCTGCATGGCTAGTCACATTAACATGATATATGGACCAGAAACCCATAGAACATTAGCCATCGTATCAACAATCTTGATAACTTAGTCAAAATATTCATACTAAATTACATACTCTAGGTTTTCATGACAAAAACGCTTCAGAAGCAGTATCCTGCCCTATGTTAAAGGGCTAAAGCATTGTATACCTTTTCACTTGAATTCTAGACATTGAATCCCAACTTCAACAGATTGCAGCTGAACACCATGTCAAAGTCCCTAGAAAACTCACTACACTACATAAAATTGCCTGTCAGAAAACAAGATGTAGAGAGCGTATTTATTAGCCATGCATACGTAACCACTGCCTCTCTGCCATAGGCTTGAGAAAGCCTTGCTCTCGTTCCTGAGCTATGGTGGTGTGTGGGCCTCCATAATCGTGACCAGGGTAAACTTTAGTGGTGGCCGGTAGAGTAGCAAGCTTTTGCAAACTATTGTACATGGCTTTTACATCACAATCAGGAAAATCCAGACGCCCGCAACTCCCAATGAAAAGGGTGTCACCTGAAATCAAGATGTCCTGCTGCGGGCGCTCAATATAGATGCATTGGCTACCTGGTGTATGACCCGGAGTGTGAATAAACTTCAGCTTCACACCGCCAACAGACACCACATCGGCGTCGTCAAGAAGGTTCAAATTTGCAGAAGGAACGCCGTTCGAATTCACCACTGTGTTTGCGTCGTTCCTGTTCACATGCACGGGAAGCTTATCCTCGACCGCGAGTTCTCTAATTCCGGGCACTTTGATTCCAAGCTGGTCGAACGGCGGTGGTGGCGTGCCACCAGTGTGATCAAAATGATAGTGAGTCAACACAGCTCCAACCAGCCGCATATTGTCCGCGGCAGCTAATCTTCGGATTCCTTTCACATCCCAGGCCGCATCCACTACGACCGCCTCACGCGTTTTCGTATCCCCTACCAAGTAAACATAATTCTGCATCTGCTTCGCACTGCTAAAAATCTGCCTCTCGATAATATTCCCCGCGTTGACAGCGAAGTCCCGCCCTGCGAGTAGCTGCCGGAAGTACAACCCCGCCATGAGCTCCCGCGCTAGGGTTAAGTTACATTCTTCAGAGTAGCGCCATTCACCTCAACAAGCGACGCTTTACTAAAAATCCTCCCTACACCCGCGCAGTATCCCTTACCAAGCAGCGCATTATCCAGACGAAAATGGCCCTTACTCCACTCAAAGTTCCAAGCCGCGGCGCTCTGAGCCTGCGGTTCAAGTTCTGCAAGCTCTCTGGCAACTTGGCAGCTGAAATGAAGGTCAGCAAGCTCATACATCGGGAGACGCTTCCCTGCTTCGGTGGCAGGCTTGTAAAGCTCTGTCAGCGTTGTAAAGTCCGTCCATCTCACAGCGTCGTTACACTGCCCCTGAATACTGTCCATATCCAATTCAACGAGTATTCGTCTGCTTCATTCCAAGGCCACAAAGTGCAACGATTGCAGTCAATGGTCCCTACACATTTGAAGAAAATCTTACCCTGACTAATCTCCTGTAAAAAATATGCCGCTAAAACCTGAGCAGTGATCAAATCCCGAGCGTAGAATGTCCACTTCCTCACTGTAAGCTATTTTCCTATTCCTCCATAGTCGCACATCCATCAAACCAATAACAAGAGTAAATGCTTCGTAGCTACTTCAGAAGTATTACCAATCACATGGAAAACATACATAGTGGAGTACAACTCCAAGGTAAGCGATCACATCAAGCTGGTAACATTCAGGTACACTCCCACCATCTTAATCAGCATAATAAAAGAGTGAAGGTTACGCTCCAAAATTTGATCCTTTCTCTACTGAGTCTGACAAGTTCACGTAAGAGAAATGGTCCCAGAAATTGATCATCCCAACACGAGTGAACTAAATATATGAATGAATCTTAGTCTACGTATTGGAGAAATCAGTCCAAATTCAAAGATCAGTCAACACTTAAGGATAAATTGAGCGGTGCCTTCAATTGGCAAGATAATGTAAAAAAGATACATTATATAACATGGGTCAAAAGAGTAGTGGGCATTTAAAACCGCCCCCACTCATCAGGAGTTCTCTTTTACAGTTTAAGGGCGCATGTAAGACCTCCCTATACAAGCCTCCCCAAGAACATGCAGTCCAGTTGGGACTGTACTGACGAACAGCAAAATCTTACGCCAACAGAAAACAACAGACTCCGAAATTTCTGCAGGTCGGAACGAATGGGTTTACAACTCTCCTACGGGTTACAACACCGATAAGAGCCAAATTGTGTGTTCAAGAGACGGACATAATAGACAGTGTTGCTTTGGCATCTCTACTCCCAGCTTCAAACTTCGATCAGACAAAATCTACAATGCCAGGTAAGAAATGGATGAAGATTTATACTATCTGCTCATGATCCCCCAACCACAACTTATGGTCCGTTCCAACTCCATAGTAGCTCAAATACCACTTCACGAACTTTTTAAGGCCTGTGTCCAAATTTGTCGTTGGATGGTAGTTAAACTGGCTTTGCGCATATGAAATGTTCGCGTGTGTAAAAGGAACATCTCCATTCCGAGGCATCTTAATGATATTTCTCTTCGCCTTCTGCTTCAAGTACTTCTCTAGGATGTCAACCAAGGTAGGCACCGTAACAGGAGAGGTATTGCCCAGGTTGAAAACACGCAGTTGCGCTGGGCCAGTCTTCTTACCACCGCTGCCAGTGCTTTTCTCAGCCGTGTCCAGAGCTCCCACACAGCCCTTAACAATGTCATCTATATATGTAAAGTCACGTGCTAGATCTTTTCCACCATTACCTGTATAAATGTTAATAGCCTTTCCCCGTAAAATGTCCCGTGTGAAAGAGAAATAAGCCATGTCTGGTCTTCCCCATGGTCCATATACCGTGAAGAAACGGAGTCCAGTTATTGATAGACCGTAAATGTGATTGTAAGTATGAGCAATTTCTTCACCAGCCTTCTTGGTTGCTGCATAAAGGCTAGCAGGTTGGTCGGTCCGGTCACTTTCAGAAAAAGGCACCTGCATTCACAACGATGCTTGTAAATGACACATAAATGAAAGGCAATAATTTTCAATAAAAGCAACATCTATCAAAATAACGAGATCATATACAACTTGAAAGAGAATGTCGTACTTATCTGAAGAAGAAATTTGACTCTATTTCGGACAATCACGTGTAGTATTGACTGATAAAGGGTTCATTATCAATGAAGAGAATTCGATAAATTTAAGTAACAGAAGGCAACTCAAATCTCTTGACCTTCTCCCTTCCCGCAGCCTAAAAACCACGAAAAGAAAACTTCAAGCATACCTTGTTATTTAAGCCGTACACAGAGCTCGAAGAGGCCCACACTATTGCTGGCTGAGGGTTAGCAGCTTTACAGATCTCAAACAGATTCACAAGGCCAGCGATGTTGCTATGTACATATGACCCTGGATTCTGCATGGCATAGCGTACCCCTGCCTGGGCAGCAAGGTGCATAACATGAGTGAATTGACCTAATTCGAAAAGGGCCTTCAGCAAAGTCTCGTCGTTGATGTCGCCCTCAACAACAAAGACACCGTGCTTTTCAAGCAAGTCTTGCCTGGCACGCTTCAAGGAAGTCTCATAGTAATCATTGAAATTATCTAGACCAACCACTCCATCTCCCCTTTTCTTGAGTGCCAAGGACACATGAGTACCGACAAATCCTGCCGCACCAGTGACTAGTACCACCATGGCTTCTTCTTCTGATCTCTTGGGCAAGCATGACTGTCGCACTTTGAGCTCCCACTGATGAGTTGGCTTGAAGGCAGCCACCGAACGACCAACAATACCACCGTCAATAGCTCCTCCGGACGTGCCACTCATTCTGTAGAACACGAAGAGAGTCAAAGTAAGTAGGACAGCGGTGCATGCCAGGAGTCTTGTTGATGCTGTTGTGTGCCATCTCGATGCTACTCGCCCAAAATAATTACTTCTTTCAACCTTCACCTGCAAATGAAAATTTGACATAATCTCAGTTGATTTAAAAAACAGAGATGGAAAATTAAATCGTGAAGATGAGATCTAGCCTGTCACGATATATAGGCATCATGGTTTACAACTGGATTATACCTGGAGAGATCTAGGCCTAAGAAATCATACCTTTCCAGGAGTTGAAGGATAGTTATCATGCATAGTTGAGGGAGGCATTTTAAGCAAGGGACTCTGCAATATCTTTGTTGGAGAGTCAAAATACATTCCAGGTAACCACCTTCCTTCTTCACTAGATAGCAGGAAGTACTATTGAGACTTTATTTTGTGTGATACGACCTGAATAGTTTGCAACCCCTCTTCGGACTTGACTGCTCAATACTGCATTTTCACCTACAACGAATCAGCCCAAGATTCCTGAGTACCGTGAAAGAACTCACAAATTTGAAGAGAAGCGCGATCTACATAATGGACGTCAAGATATGCTGATCTGCTTCTTTGAAACCTATCAAAAGATATACTTAACACAAGAGATAAGAGAATTTTGAAGGCTACTGCACTGGACGTAAACATTTGGGACGTCGTCAAAGTGAAGTTGTACAAAAAAATGAAATCTCTTTTCTGTGCTTCTAAACTACAGCAGCCTGAGAATACATTAACAAGAAATCAGAACAATATGACGTGATCGACACTAAAATACTTAGACAAGGTACTATACAAAGATTTAATGCACAAAATCTCATCTACTTACATTGGCAGGACTTTTCTTGAGACTTCTACGATGACCACAATTACGTAAATGTTCTATCACTGTATCTCACATACTCACGACCTAGGTACCACTTGCGCAAGATAAATACAAGACAGCGATACTATGGATAAAGGGCTATACTAGCAAAGCAGGCACCACTGTATCATGAAATAATAAAAGGTCGTGGTAATGTTCTGGCAATGTAATCCAAATAAGATTTCACTGTAGGAAACTCGAAGACGTTCAGAACAGAACAGATCAGAAACTAGCTCGTATACAAGAGAATATCCTACTTAACTTTACACTATTCTAACACATTGTAAGTCATAAAAACCTAGATACAAGCTTATTCATCCTCGCAAGAGTGATTCTAACCACGACGGATCACTACATGTAATGGTGAGAGATTCAAGAACATAATTCGACGGAAAGAATTGAAGTGAGCAGCCTCCACCATTACTAAAATCCATGGCTATGTCCTGAGTACATTATTAACAGGTACTTTACATCGAAATTGATCAGTAACCCAAGTAGAGAAGTTTTAGGTCTGCTCTGGATACGACATAGCACATAGTATCAGTTGGCCATTCACGATGAACGCGCTAATATGATAATTTAGATCTAGGTTGATCGGTACTGCTGGATAAAACAGACATTACAAGGGAAATAGAAAACTCCTGAGCAGCCCGAGACTTACAAAAAGAAACGCTCAATCGCCTCGCATTTGCTCGAATAAATCAAAAATTCCAACGCCTGTAGCTTCAGCGCCACAGACGAGGCTCAGCTGATGAAAGAACGTGCTAAGAAGGAGTGCAAGAGCACAGCGCCTCAGTTAACAATGTCAGGCTAGAATCCGCCGAATGTCACAATATCAAGATAGCAGTGATTTATTCGGCTATAACTTAAACCAGCACCCACGCTGGACAGAACCCAGAGACCGCGGAAGCAAGTCTTTGCAAAGCAGGCCTTCCACGTCACCACAAAATCACTAATCTTGATTTCTCTGAATGTGTGCCTTTCCTTGTGTAGGGAAAACTCGTCTTAGTATTCAGCTACCGAGCTTAACTGCACTCACACAAGAATCACGTAGAACTTCAGGATAGAAGACAGAGTTGCAGTAATCGGCTCAACAGTCAATCCGCTCTCAGGCAATGAGTACAGCAAATACACATTGCAAGTCCACTTCAAAGGTTAAAAGAAATCTTTGTACGCTATTCAGAATCTAGACAAGTAATCACACAAATAATCCAAATTGTTGCTTTTCTCTCATACCACTCACTAAACTAACCATCACAGTCTGACACTTCAATGTCATTCTCTCCCCTAATCTCCTTTACCAGATACCGGGGGAGCCGAAACTGAGAACGTATCCGTGCGATACCAATTCCCGCGGAAAAAATCCATGCAACACATGATAACGTAATTTTACCTCCTACTCAGACAGTGCGCTGTTCTGTCTCTGCTCTGTGCACTCGACCTCTTTCCTGACCACACTGCACCTCACCTTCCTAATGTCACTCGGCCCGCCACCATGTAAACAGACAACCATACGAAGCTCTCGGCAAGACAAGGCGCACAGAAGCAGCAGGAACAGCAGCGGAGAAAATGTAGTTATTCGTCCCCCCTCTCCATGTCCAGCCAACACGCATCCAACCTGGAGGTATCCACTGCAGCGCTTGAGTAAATCACTCCGACCTCGTCTATAATGTACTCCCACTCTCTCACACGATAAGTACCACCTACACAAATACCAACGTACGATCGCACTACAATCGCTAGACACGAAACAAATACAATGTACACTTCATCGTCCCCCACTTTTCCTGCCAATCATGCCAAAAGACTCTCCAACCAGGTTGCGTTTGACTCCATCTAGGCCCAACGATTCTTCCCCTCTATCACCACCCGATCACGCAACCAAGTTCTCTCGCATTCACCAGCAGCCAGCACTCGCCGGTAACTTTCACTTCCTCCCGGAAATGCGACGAACGCGACCGGAATGCCAATAGCCGTGTGGCGCCAACGCAGTGCGCAATGTGTGTGCCAACACTTGGAGCGATTCTTACTCCATCCCTTGCAAACAGTGCCAATGCCCTCCAATTTCGGAACTCCACCATGGCCGTAAGCTTCATACATCCACACGCTGCACCCTTCGAAGCACCAACAACAGAAGCCAGAGAGAGACTCACTCTTTTTCGGGTTACGCGTAAGTTCGGGTTACGATTCCAGGGGTTCCACCCCACACACCTGTCGGCTCTCAATCCACTGGCGTCCTTTTCCCACTCCCAAGTGGGACAATTCGTAGGAACTCGCCTTTTCTTGCCTTCTCTCCCTCCCACAGGTGCACCCCCCCCCCCCCCCGCCCCCCAGATTCCCTTCTTACCCCCCCCCCTTCACTTTTTACCCTCCCCCGCTTCACCATCCATTGGCGCTGCTTGGTTCTCGCTGCTCAACTCCTTTCATCCTGTACCCATTCATCCTATACCCTTATTGTTTTCATCCGTTTTCCATTGCTTTTTCATCCTGCACCCATTACTTTTTTAATTTATTTGGATCATCTCAGTGTGTGGTTCAAAGCACACCCAAGACCATAGGGACCATAAGGTGCAAGGATTATCCCTGGTGTACCAATCCAGTTTCTAGAAATATATGTATGTATATACATATTTGTGTGTGTGTGTGTGTAAAAGTAAGTGTATGTTTGTGTGTGAGAGAAATGACCTACACAACTTAAGAGTATTTGTTTTACTTTTGCATCTTACATAACACTCTTTTGAAGTATTCAATTTGAATAATAGTTGCACAGATAGAAATAGATGAATCATTTGGACCTTTCTTATACTTCAAAGAGAATTCATTTTTGCAATTATTTGGAATTTTAGGTGAAAATTAATAGTAAGATTCACATTGATGTAATATGATACTTTACACACATAACTTATTATTTTGATAACTTTGTGATTTCTAGTTAATCCTATAATAATAATGATAATTATTATTATTATATTATTTTGATGCAAGTAGTCACTTCTATTTTATAATATTAATAGTATGTAATAAAATTACAAACCAGTAAACTTTTCGAAATACAGTGTTTATTCCAAACAAGAACTATATGTATGTATGTGTGTGTGTGTATGTACACACATATTATGCATTTTCTTAAGCAAATCTGTGACCTTAATCTAAATGATTATATCTCTGTTAATGACAAATTTTAATCCTTAAATGCAATGATTTAAAATACTTGTCTTTTTTAGTACAAAGTGTTGTAGTTCCTTAAAGATGGTTAATTGTCATGGGCCATCAATGAATACTTGATTTGAGATAGCGCTTCTCAATTAAAATTTCAATATCCAAAATTTGAAATATGATACAATTAAAAGAGAAATCTCTGATTACGTGTATGGTATTCTGTAAGTCTACAGGATTAGTAATCATTTCTTCAAGTAGGAAAAAAAGAGAAAAGAAATACGTCATTATCTATGTTCTGTTAAATAAGAAGCTAAAGTAACCCCCTTACTCTCGAATACTTTTCATTAAGATGTAGTGTACAAGCTGAAGTATAATTTAGGGTATCTCATATGTTACACTGCACAGCGTGTGAAAATACAAATTGACCATACTGATATGAATAATTAGCAATAAGAATAATCCAAAAAAGACATTTTTTCTTCTTTTAGGGATTGTGTCATATTCCAAAGAGACTCAACTATAAAAAGATAGAAATCAGAAGGCAAACAAGGCAAGGTTAAAAATATGAACAGTAATACAATCTTGTCTCCACTCATAAATTCAAAAGTCCACCAAGCCAATATCCATGAAGAATTCTACATAATTTTGGTTGAACTTTATTAAAGACCTCTTTCAGCCATTATTTTATTTTGTTGTCCTACAATCCATGTACTTGCCCAAAATATTCATGTCTTTGAGGCCAAAATGCTTTTGGATTGTGTTTTGGTGTAGGGGACAAAAATATACAGTGTGCAAGGTTTGTTGCCGAGTTCATGAGTTTGTTTGTTGATGGGTATGGATGGAATGAGTTAGAGGATCACATGGAACACAAGGAGGCAAATGGCCAAACAACTTGCATCCCAATGCAGATGGATAAAGCCAAACCCCACCCTGGCAGGGGCTGGGTAAGAAGCTCCACTCTCATCCCAATTAAAATGGCAAACTGTCCAACAGACAACTTTCCCAACCCTCGCCCAGTTTCGCACACCAACTCCAGCTCATGCTGACGTGGAAACCCATACTGCAATTGAAAAGTTAAGAAAACTAAGTCACAAGCTTTGATCCTCAATAAGCCATGAAACCAAAATCCTAATTGCTATTCAATGGGGTTGAAGGGCCTGCGACGCTTTTTTTTCATGAGCCACTTGTCAAGTTTTTAGCACAATCTGACAAAGCACCCGTTGCCCTCTCTGCTCGTCCAGCTCAACGCAGCCTCTCTCACACTGCCACTCGGTGAGTGGATTTAGGATTTCCGCATCTGATACCCGCACATTGAGTTTTTCCTCTCTGGGCAGTGCACGTTCATCGAGCCCAATCTGTTTTTGGACTTCAGATGGATGACCTAGGCCCGCCAACCCCTCCCCAGTCGATGATGCGCTATGCTGCTGCTGCTGGCTATGATTGTGCAAAGAAAGGACACAAGCTCGGAAAGCATGCCCGTCTTGAAGAACACGGGCTGACTGGCTGGCTGGCGAACTGGCTGGCTCTGCTTACTCACTCACTCACTCACTCACTCGGACGGACGGACGGAGAGGGAGGGCCGTGCATTCTCTGCTTCGTCTGAGGCCCGCCACGCTGTTCTGTATCGAGAGACTGCGACTTTTTAACTTACCCAGCCAATTTCGTTGCGAGTATTTCATCCAAGGGCTCGTTACTAACAATCCCCCGCATCTTGCTCGCATGATGGATTGTACGGTGATCCAATTCTTCTGAACATAGCGCTCGATCTACGACGTCAACAAGTGTGGTTCCAAGGCTGGTGGTCTTTTTCGCAGAGGAGTCAAATTACGAGATCGTTGGCTTCCCATCGGCAGATTCCTCGAGTGTCAATGGAGTTGCCTGGGCACGGACGTGGTGGCTGGGTCTTCAACACTGCAGCGAGTGACAGTAGGGAAAGGGCATCCGAACAAGATGTATTCACACCACCAACCAGTAATTTCTGAGGCCCTGTTCATGACCAACCAGTGAACGCGAAGATCTGCAAGTAGGAGTGGTGCTGGAAGTGCTTCTCTGAGTTGCTTTCATTCATAGTATCTCCGTCGATTCATACACAGCCAAAGTGTGAGCTTGCTCGCGAACTCGTGATGATCAATCACATAGGTAGAATCCAAAACATTGCTAATAGTACACCTCTACTGTGTGAGTCGTCATCCATACGAGCCCTAATTAAAATTTGCGAAGAATTTAGGTAGCATTTCCTTTAACGCATGCAGGGTCAGAGGGTTGCTAATGTTGCAAGCATGGATTAATGACGAACGCTTCTGAACCAAACTGTTGAGAGACCTGAATACAGAGTCGTAGTATACATCTTCATCCAGCTTTGCTAAGATTTGGAATGTTAGCAACTCTTTAAGTTGGATCCACCTTCCGCTAGTGCAGACGCACGATTTTTTAAACCTATTTACGTCGCTGGTCACGGTACAGATTTGCATGTACGTATGGTTCCCTCGATTCGGAACGTGAGACTTTTGTGTGGTATGCCAATGTGACCCGACTTAGTGGGAGAAAGACATGTCAAAGTGGGCGTTAACCTTCTGCCAAATCATACCATGCTACTTCCATGTCAATGCCAGGAGCTTGATCGAGGACGGGGCGAACACGGCAGGGAATTTTATTTTCTGCACATGAGCGTATGGTTCATCCCATCGACCGTCTCCGCTGCATTCTATCCACTCTCGTAGACCTTGGTTCTATTAATTTGTCCACCGGTAAGGACAACTTCTTGGCACTCATGGACTGATACTCCAAAACGCAACCCTGCAGAGACGATGGCCATTCTTGTGCTGCTCAGAAATGGATGTGTGCTCTCAGGGACAACAAGCTGTGTCAGAAAACCAAACGTTGCATAATTTCAGTCGACAACGAACAAATTACCAGTCACACCTCAGGACAAGAACTATGGCTATTCTGTTTCGGCAGGAGATCATGAATGTTGAGCCCTACTGTGCAGAAATGTTTTATTGCTAGTTCAACCACGGCGTGACTGTACTTCTCCTTTGGCATGAAGATTATTAAATGTATGTTGCTGTACAACTGTGTGTAAAGAACTTGAACCAATTCCCCTCACAACGTGGCCAACCGACCTTCAATAAACAGGTGTCTTCTTTTGAATCCTCAAAGCTGCTACTTCATGTGAGCGACTGACAAATGATTCGCGACGGAGAAAGTGAGGAATGGAACTACCGACTAAGTGCTAGGTTTTACGAGGAAGATGAATCCAATAGGCATCGAAATCGTATTCTGATAGTCTTTCTTCACATGCAGAAGTACGGATTACTCCTACTGTTTGCAAAACATCAACGAACCTTTCCATTCAGCGGCAAACTTCCAATCATACTCCGCGTTAACCTTGCAGCTTACGCTTGAGTGACCTTGATCTCAAGAGTAGCAATTTAGACGAAATGTGACAAACCATAAGAGGAATGTTTCTATGGAATTGATCTGAGAAGCACTAATTCATACAACAAGCAGTGATGTCAAAAGCGAATGAAAGTAAGACAGCATAACTGTTTGGAGTACAAAGTTTCAAGTAAAACTAAATAAGACTGCGTTCAAATTTCGTACCGATTGTGGAGTGATATTACTTAACTGTAGACGGAAGGCAAAAAATACTGAAAAGCAGATCATGGTAGTGTGGTGTGTGTCGAGCAACTGATGTAATTGTTCATACTTTTATTTTCACATGTTTGGTGATCCCTTGAGCGCCTGCCTGAATCGCATCCGTATACGGCAGCCAATCAAAGGTTTCTTTCTGAGTGGAAGACCTAGAGATTGTGAAGCTCATTGCAACATCGAAGGATAACAGAGGCGCATTCAGTTGGAATCATGTCAAGAGCTCTGCCGCGAACATTTGCAATGATCCCAGGCCGTGTCGAAGAGATAAACGATCTAGATGTAGGAAGTGCAGGGTGTAGGGATGGGTTATTTGTTTTTCATATCTGC